TGTTGTTGAAATTCTTAATATAATTAAATATGGGTATTTAGATATTTAGATGCGGTCTTACCCAGTATAGTAGTGATACATAAAGGTAAAGCCTAAAAAGAGATTGATTTGCATTCCTCTTATTGTTCAAAATCATCGCTTGAGCGTCGACATGGTCATTTGCAATCATGTCATTGCACAATAACTCTATCATTGCCCGACGATCTATAAAAATGTCTTTCAAGTGCAATATAATATCACTTTTGCATAATAATACAAATTCCAAATATAATAAAGAAGTTGTCTTCATTCACTTAATCCCAAAAGAAGTTCATTATAAAAGACACAGATTCACTCACTCATTGATACTATAACGATTATTGCATTCCAAGTAGAGGAGAAGTTCCAAAGTGGAAGAAAGTTCCATCCTGTGGCGTTGATGCCCGTCAAATGAAGGCTGATCTGTTGAACTTCGGAACTGGGGAGTCTTCTGCCCGTTTTAATCAATTGTATATAAACTATTTGTTATCAAATTTAGTTTTTCCGTCTAGTAATTTCAGTGTATCCAAAGGACTTTACATCTTTGGAGAGAATGTAGATATGTTTGCTTCATTTAATTAGTCCGCTGCGCTATGTGAATATCTTATTGAGCAAATAAATGCGGTTGCCATAAAAATAAGGCGGAACCGGCCTCTGGGATATATAAATGGTTTTTTTTTTTGCTAACGGTAAGTACATCGTATTAAAGCCAAATGCTATTTATTTCTTTGTGTAAAGCTGAATATGCCTTTTTTCACACAGCTCTGGTTTTATGAGCACACTTCTTTAATTACTCCTGCGAATCCTGCGGCTAGACCTCAAATGTTGAAGTGGCCAACTGTAAGCTTGAGCTCATCCGAACTTGATATAGCTTTTAAGATGCTGACTCCTGATCAGGCAAGTTACATATATCTTTAATTTCCAAATAAATTATTATGTTGTTTTGAAACTATTAATGATCAAAGCGTTTCTTTTTGAAATTACTCGCAGGTTCATGATAAATTTTTGGATCTGAAAGAGGATGAGCTCAATCTGTTATCCAATCCAGATGAAGGATTACCTGATCTAGTTCCTGTGACGCAAGTCCAAGACAGACCAGAGGCACCGGTATCATTTGATATGGGGCCAGTTGATTCAGGGGACATCACCCCTGAGCCATTGTATACCACAATAAATAAAAGCATGAAATCAATAGTCGAGCTGCTTAAAGGCCAAGAGAAATGGTTCACTGAATTTCAGGGAACTTTGAATACAACAACTGTTGGAGTGTCGAGTTTGCAGGGGCAAATGTCGGTGCTGCAACATAAGTTTGATTAATCTGAAAATATTCCAACTAATAAATGCGAAGAGATCGGAGTAGATGATCCCAAGCCGGCCTCCCCTCATGGGTGGAGTCCTCATGATTTTGT